CTGTCTCTGGGTGCTCTTTACCTTAGTTTTGCCCGGCGCGCGCCTTTATTATGTCTCAAGAATTTCGATCCTTTGCGCTGGGCGCAATCTTTCACTGCGCAGAACCCCTTAATTCCAGCGTCGCTTTCGAGTGTTTTTTAATAATGCCAATGTAATAATGACTTTATTTCATGGGCTCTCCATTAAGTTCTCGGCCCGGCCCTTTTAATTATTGTATAACTCTCGACTCTCGCAACCCGAACCGTATACTATACCGAATGAAAAAAAAAAACACAAAATAAAAATATTTCACTCGCTCGTTCTGGTATATACTACTCTCGACTTAATGAGCTTCGGTGCGCGCGCGAGTGTGTACAAATATATGCGCATCTGCACCTACGTATATAGTTACATGCAACGCAGCTTAGCGGGTACTCGTTGATTTGTACGCGTAATAATATTCGCGTTCTCTCTCTCTCTCTCTTCCAGCGCTACGCGCGCGAGTAAACAGCCGAATGCAAAATTCATTGCTAAATACTTATACCGCGCGCGAGCCCTGCGCGCGTGTGCGCGCGAGCGCAATAGATAATGTCTCGGAGAGCAAATGTTCTGTATTTCACACTATATAGTAGAGAGACTCGCGCGGCGAAGCCACTCCGCGTATGCACACAATATATAGTTTCAAAAAGTTAGCAACTTCGAGATGTCTATGGGTGTGTGTGTGTGCACGTATGTGCTGCAGCTGTACCAGGCGCGGGCGCGTGTTCATATATAAATACACGTATATACGTTCACCCTGAACCATTGCTCGCGCTCGAGTTCTTCTCCTTCTCGCGACTAACCGCACAAACATGTGCACTCTTTTTTTATGCCTTTTTCGGTATACGCAGTTTGAATTATTTGTACGTAATATCTAGCTCTCGGTAGTTGCGCGCACACACACACACATATATTTGCCTCGTGTACACATATATGCACTACACTTATGTGTGTACTAGGTAGGTAGCCTGGGAGAGAGAGAGAGAAATATAGAAAGCTGCTGCAGTAGCCGAGAAATAGCTCGACGCTCGCTCGTACTCGGTAGCGGCAAGCGCTCGCGATATTAACCCGCAAACCCATACGTTGCCGTGGGAAGGAAGTACTTCCGTAATATCATATACCGAATGCGTCACATTTATAGTCTCGCGCGCGCGCGCGTCGTATATATACACGCTCCGGTAGCAGCAGCAGCACGACGACGGTATATAGCGCGCGCGGGGCTCGACTCTCTTTATTCGTCCTTTTAAATCCACAGCGAAAAAGGCTTATTTATTTTGCGTATACCGGAGCTTTTATTGAAATACCACTCCTTTGAAACGCCAACGTGTTCGCCAAGAAGACGAGTATAGGTATATTTGGATACCGGGGTAGATACTATTGGGACAGAGAATGGTTTTTTTCTCTCTTTAAGCTTCGATGTAAATGAAAATCGGGTATATATCACGTGGTTGGTGAATTCGAAAGCTACGCAAACTGTGTGCGATTTTTCGCGTTGACTCGCCGCAAAATTAATGCGTCACGAAAGTCCAAGAAATCAAGTATTAAAAACGGAAACTCAAGCTTTGTGCTGCGCTGAGAGACACATGGAGGTTCATTGGACTCGAGTACACGAGCGCGTGTTTGCTTGATGTAAAATTTTCAAATAACTTTTTAACCGTTACACTTTCCAGCTAGCGAGTTGGCTTGGTTTAAGGGATAGAAAAAAAATTATAATATAATATCAGAGACAAGATAGCATGTAAGCTCGAGTTTTCTCGACATTCAGATGACGCCCAGTAGTGTGTGTGTATGTGTGTGTGTATGTACGAGCTAGCATGCGCGTTACAGGTTACAGCACTGAGAATTACGCCCGGGAGATAGGAAAAATTGAGTTGGCTCTCGCGTACGGAAAACGAGAGAGAGAGAGAGAGGAAAGCAACGAAGTGCAGAGTACGCGGCGCTATATTAAGCACGTTTCCAATTGATTTTGCGCGCGCCACCATCGCCTATCTTCTCTACCTATACATCCTCGCTCGCACACACCCATACACACCCTACAGCGAAGTAGCGAAACCACACCGTTTGATTACTTTTCGATTTGTGCAGCTAAGCCTTATATACGCGCAGCGAGCAGTACGCGGATTGAATGGCGAGATATACGTGTGACGCGGGACTCGATTAGATACGCTTACATCTGCAGTATACATATTCCTAGCTCAAATATTTTGAAATATAAAAAAAAAGGGCAAGAGAGGAGGATTAACGTTGAAACAATAGACTCTCGACGCAGTTCATTCGTATGTACAAGTGGAATTAACAAAAGCGCGGGAGGTAAAAAAACGTGGGAAAAAAGCATTTTAAAAATCAGAAATCAACATAGGCTCGAAACGTAGGTACGCGGAAAATATCAATTTCATTTATTTTAGCGACTGCTCGCGCGATATCGCGCAGTGACTGGCAATAAAACTGTCGCGCGCGCGTAACTGTACTAAATAAACGCCCGGAATCCGCCGCCGGTTTTGCAGAAAAACAATACATCAGCGAAATGTGCCGAAACGAGCAGCAGCGGCAGCAGCAGCAGCAGCAGTAGAAAGTATAGTAGTAGAGCCCCCGAATTCATTTGTCAGCCCGAACGTTATAGCAGTGTGGGAGGTGGGGGTGAGCTTCGCGTATATATACAGTGTATATACTGCTACACCGGCGAAAATCAAAAAGCACCTCCACCCCCAAAGTCAATGGAAAATCTGTAAAGTGTTTGAATGTACACGAAGCAGCAGCGGCGGCGGCGGCGGCTCGAGGGCTGACCGGGCATGATACGAACAATTCGGACGGGGGAGGAGAAAAGGTATTAAAACAACTTGACGCAAACACGAGGCTGCGTATTGTGTAAAACGTGACGCATTTGTATATACTGCAGGTTATAGCGAAACAGGAAAAAAATACAACGATTTTTTGGAAAAATTAACGAGCGAGAGAAATTGCGCGCATCTCACTTATCTGTGCTTTAACGGCCTTTATTTTCTTTCGTTTAAAGAAAGAAAACATCGGCAGACCGAGGTTCATTATCATGTCCCCGTGGTAATCTCGCAGTTATGACATGAATATCTCGCGATGAAAAAATTCACAAATGCATGCTCTGTGTCATTTATGCACAAGCGGGATATACTTTTCCAGGCAGAGCATACTGTAGTTCGTACATAACGTTCGTACATGTTTGCGGATTGTTATCAAAAAGCATTTCGGGATACGCGACATGCTCGTGTGACACTATTGCGTAGAGCACAACTCCGCGCGTATGCATATAGTTTTGTATCTCTCGGCGCACTATTATGAAATTTTCGGGGTAAACAACGCGGCAAAAAACAACAACAATAATAACGACGACGACAAGGACGACGACGACGACGACAACGTTTTGTTTGCGATACCTGATGAATATTTGCTCGGGGAACGCGAGATATGTTATTCGATTCGCGCGAGGTATGCGTGTACTATCGAGAGACGTACGAAACATTTTTCTCAATTTTTTCAATAAATTTTGACGTGGGTCGAAAAAAAAACGTACATTCATGGGGCAAAAAAAAAAAAAAAAAAAACGTTCCGATGATAGTGGTAGTTGACAAATTTGATCACTTGGTGTGCGTACACGCATACACACGTACGCGCTACTCGGCGCGGAAGAAAGAGAGAGACACATAGAACGAGAGAGGAAGAGGGAGAGTAATCGAAGCGCACATAGTAAAGCACTCTCCACTGTACCCGGCTCGGGATATATATTGGAGGTAGAATTTCTATATACATACCCTCGCGATCTAATCGTGAATTTCATCTCTTTACTCGGGTGAATATGTATGTATAGCCGAAATTAACGCTCGGCACTAAACCGCAATCGATGCGATTGCTCGGCTGTACATAGCAGCTCTCTTCGTCGGCCACGATACAGGTATACATCTATATTGCGTAAGCTGTACTGCGGCGAAACGGAGGGTGGTGTGTATATATCGAGAGGTACTGCGTCGCCCCATATACACGAATTACAGATGCAGCAGCAGCAGAACACCGGCATAGCATCAGCCGCCCGTTTTGCAGATATATATCTTGCGTTTAGAAATGCGAAATACCAATAATTACGCGCCGAGAAACGAGTATGCCATTGCTGGCCCGGCTATGTACTTTCGGCTATAGCAAAAACTGTACACTGCGCTCGGGATCGAGGAATCGGCTCTATTTTCTCGATCATTGTTTCGCTGCGGTTTATACGTGCGCTTACATTCTGATTGACCTACATCGATAATCGCCCTTTCTATCGAAAACCTCATGCATCGACCATTGATTTTAAATCTTTGTTGAATGGACTATTCTTATTTATACGGCGAGGTTTTGTTTTACATGGGTACCAATATAAAGTTCTTAAATCAAAATTTAAATCAAAAATAATCGATATTGAATTTCATTCATGGTACTTTTACGTGAAATCTTCGTAGAAAATGAGTGCATAAAAACAGATTTTTTTTAATGTAAAAAGCACAGCAATTTCATGAATCATCAATCACCGACATTATTTTGAAAGCAAAAAATTACAAAAATGGAGTCGATTTAAAATTTAAATTGAAACATTCCGATTGAAAATTAATGTTTTAAGACTGATCTAGCTTTTACGATTATTGTGAAAAAATCAATGAAAGTTATATCATAATTAAAGCCAATTTCTGCCGCTAGATGGCCAGTACCTTTATTTGTAAATCAGCAAGTGGCTAAGTAAACGTGGTTGCATAAGTAGAAGAAAAATTTTAATAAAAATGTTGATAAAACAGTAAGTGTAAAAATGTTTTTGAATAATTCTTAAAATTCTTAGAATATTGTACGATGGGCCTTGTACGCAGTGTATTGTAGTAGAGTATCAAGAGTTGAAATGTATCATTTCTCCCACAACGAACCGTTACGGGAAAACTCATTGCCGCACGCTTTAATAAAGAAAAAAGAAATTTGTGCAAAAAACTCACTCTCGTATCCCACGTAGATTGGCGTCCAGGTGATCTGAGCGCAGACCTGCCCGAGCAGCAGCAGCACCACCACCAGCGGCAGCCCAAAATTGAACAGGTACAACGACGACGCGCTGGATGCCATTTTATTTTCTCCACTCTCTGCTGGGCGGTGTCGGGCTTTCAGTAAATTTCACTCGATCGCACGTGCGGGGAGGCTCTTAAGTATACTAAATTACTGCGCACATACTGGGAGCTCGAACCGCTACTACTATCCATCTGAACGCACTGCAGGAAAATTATCCGATAACTTTGTCGAAGTTGCGTTTTGGCCGATGTGCTGCTGCTCCGGGCAATCGATCAGAGGCGGCTTCATTATTTTTTAACTGTTCACCGAGTCGCCTGCAAAATGAAATTAAAAGAAAAAAGGTATTAGTATGAAATTGCTTTCGTACATATTATTCGTGTACGATGTATGCAATACGCATTGTGTTAGTAGGTCAACTTTTTCACCGTGCAACACGGATCGCTTGCTCGTGTGCAAAATCAAAGGGCAAACGAGGTCAAAATGCGCACACGATAAACGACTCTGCACGAGGAATCATCATCGTCGTATCCCCGAAGGAGGCGTTTCTTCGTACTCTCATCTTCGTTGCAGCTGTTCGGCCGGAGTGTGGGGGAAATGAGAGAAGGAAAAGCTTTCGAAGCGAACTTTAGCCCCCGAAAATCCTGTAGAATTGCAGGTACGGGTTTATTCGCTAGAAAAGCACGAAGGGATGGTACAAGAGAGAAAGAGAGAGAAAGGAGGGGATCGAGGCAAAGAACCTGGTTCTGTTAAGTGCCGAAGCAAAGGAACTTTACCTCCCTTTCTACTCTTATACGGCAAAGCTTCTCTTTTTTTTCCATTTCTTTTTTTCCAGTTTTTCGCAAGCTCTACGCCACCACCACCAGCACTAACGCCGCCGCGTTCGGCCGTTTTCTACTTCGTCTAACGGTTTTTCTCTCTTTCCTTCTCTCGCACGCTCCGTGTGAGCATAGACTAAAGGGTCTCGCACACGGAAATAATTCATTAGGGCTGAGACAAGGCTGATTCGTAAGAGAAAGGGTCCTGCTTGCCTGCCTGCCTGCGAGAAGAAAAGAAGGAAGAAAAAAAAGAGAGGGAGAAAAAAAACGAGTACAAAGCGACAAGGAAAAACGAACGAGAAAAGCAGATACACTCTCTTAGGAGAGAAAGAGCTGCCGCTACTGCTGCTGCTAGCCGAGCTACCGCTGCTGCTTGTGTTGGGTCAGCACGCTCAAAGAGCCCCAAGGAATTTTCTCTCGGCCTTTGTGGACCTGACACTCGTTTTGCCATCATACTCTCGAATGGAAGAGACAGAGACAGAGAGAGAAAAAGAGTAAGCAGTGCTAGCCGCGACTATATATGTATACAAACGCGCACCTTGTCGAGGAAAGAGAAAAAGCATTGTGCAGTTTGCTTCGTCCTCGTATATGCCTCCAAATATACACCGATGTATACGGCCGCGTACAGTGTGATGTTCTCTTACACGAGCTCTCTCTCGGAATCGGCACAATACTTCAATAATTTTTCAATTACCAATAAGCGTCACGAGCACAGATGTTTTTATCGATATCAAAGGCAAACCGAAGAGTTTAGCCTGTGTTGCTCTATATGTTATTTAAATGAACTCGCATTTTGCAGCGCAAAGGATAAACAATTTTGAGGGCTCGAGCTCGAAGATTGAAGCAGATACTACGGTTTTTGGCTTAATGGAGAAACGACGAGGGTGGTTGGTAGCGTAGCATCACGCGCTCGGTAAACTCCAAAAATATAGATAAAAGCCCCAAAGAGCGGGAGAGAACGAGAAATGCAAACAGTGGAAAAAGAAGGAGAACTGCAAGTAAATGAAGAAAGGAGAGAGGAAGAGATAGCGAGCGAGAGTGCATGGTTGCGTTCGAAACAGCTCCACGCCGCGCAGAGAGCTCGCTCGGAATAGTACGAGCTACTTTTTTTCCCTCTTTTTTCTTTGCTCAAGCAGCAGCAGTGCACTGGTGCTAATTGCATTGTGTAATTAGTACTCTTGGCAGACACAAAAGTGTGTATGGTATCGCGCGCGCGCACCACGTTCAGGGTGCGCCTCGGCTCTCACGGACCGCATCGGCAACCGAAACACAGAACCAGAAAGAGGAGAGAGGGAGGAAAAGCTACCAAGGTTTTTTAGATTAACTTAGCTGCGCTTCTGCTCCGTGCTGCAGGGGCTGAAGCGGTAGCTGTTATTGCTTATTTTCCAGTTGGCGTTGCTCCTCTTCTTTCTCTCTCTCTCCTCTTTCCTACGCGCATTATACACTCCGCACGCGCATACCTAAGCCATTTCCTTGTTAAATTTATTACTTTATCATTTAAGCTCGTGCATTTGCGCGACTTGATTAATTTAAAACTGCGTGCGTGTAGAGTACACAAAATCGCACACAACGACTACTGCTAGCATATAGGTATATAATACTGAGGCAACAGCAGCAGCAGCAGCAGCAGAGGTCAATTACTGGACAACGGAGTGTATTAATTCAATCGACGAGTAATAATCGTTCATTACGGTATAAGCGCGCGTCACGCGCTCTTACATTACGACGTTGGCGGCGGCGTCGCTAATGCAGCAGCTAGCCCTGCCGCTTATAGTGCTGCTCTCCGGCTTTTGGCACCTACATATACATACTCATATGCACGTGGACATATAGAGCAGAACGCTCGATGACGCATACATCTATGCATTTGTATACGTGCTATTTCAGTTTTCAACATCGACATCTTGGCTGAATATTCGTACGATGGTATAGGAGTGTGTGCACGAGAGGGTTGCGCGAGTGGAACGGGGGAACTGGATCAGTCACGATTATTAATCGAATCAGGCTTCAATTAGCTGGCATAATTACACACAAGGGAGAGAGAGAGAGAGAGAGAGATAACTCAAACCACAGAACCCAGGCCACCACCACTACCACCATCTCCAACCACCACCACCAGCAGGGACACCACCATCACAGGAGAGTATTCAACCGATTGGCCTGTGGCTTACGATGACTGTGAGCCAAAGCTGCTCTGTCTCTCTCTCTTCCTCTCTCTCTCTCTATCCACGCATAGACACACGTGTGCACACTTATGTATTGCACACGTACATACGTACATACACTAACAGGGGGGTAGATATGCTCGATGTGCGAGCTGCAGCCTAATTAATGGATGAGCCTGGCCGACCATACTACTGCTGCTGCTGTGCGATCGACGCGATGCTGCGGCGCAGCCTATATGTATAACTGGGTCGCAGCGGCAGCAGAAGCAGCAGTAACATTGCTACCCTCACATACCTACTCCAACACACGTGTACACATACATAAAGCACGGGTGGTATAATACGCACGACTACGAGCGAGAAGTGCTATATTCGATTTTACAATTACTCCGAGGGACGTATCCATTGTTGCAGGACCGATGACGGTTCACCCTCTGTTCTCTCTCTATATCTATGTCTCTATCTCTCTCTTTCTCTCGGCTCACCGACACGGAGGGAGAGAAAATAAATCAATAATCTCTTGTCGCACGCATCGATTAGATATCGAGAGATTAATCTCGTTTGGGAGGCTAATTTTTTGAAAAATTTTACTCTACCCTCCTCGCTCGGCTTGTGTGCGTATAGCGTACAGTATACACCGGGGCTACAGCGAGAGCGCGGCGCGGCGTTGAAGAGTTTCGAAACTCGCGTTAACGAGCTATTGGACGCGTAAAATCCCAGTCAGAGGGGAAAAAAGTTTTTTCTCGCCGAGCTACTGTGTAGCAGCAGCAGTAGCAGCAGCTGGATTAAGGGGACGCGGGGTCGGGGCAAAAAAAAAAAAAGAAACGAAGTGCCCACTAAAATTCAAACGAAGTTGATTGAAATGATTTACATACTTATAAATGAAACGAATAAAGGTAAACACGCGAAGCGTAGTAGTACGAGCGCGACGCGGTCAAAGCTGCATGCAATTACTGTACCGCGCGTAGTAGTAGCAGCAGCAGTAGTAGGCAAAAGCGCGTTTATGCATATATAGCTGCCAGCCTGCCTGCCTGCTGCTACTATATAGCGGCGGAACATTCGGCCTCTCTAACGAACCCTAGCATAATGACCTTCTGTGCTTCGGCTCCAGCGCTGATGCTGCCGCTGCTGTGTGTAAGTCGTAAAAGCAAAATTTTGTTAGAATAGTAACGCGCGCGCGAGCGGCCAACGGAGCGCTTTCTCGCCTGGGGAGTTTGCACTCTCCACACCGCCGCCACACCACCACCAACGTCCCGACTCATAACTATGGAGTGCTTCGAGCTTGTTTGTAGAATTCCACTTAAGAGATGTTTTTCCTTCCTTTTTTGTTTCTTTTGTCTACTTTTTTTCCACCATTTTTTTTTATTTTTTTTTCCCAGCCGAGTCAAGGATATTTAGACCTTGGATATGGGCGAATGACATTCGACACGCAATCGTGTGTTCCACGTTCAACACGCACTCGTGATGCGCGTTACACACCAATTGATCGAAAGTCACGTATGTAACGCGAGAGCGCCGTGTAAAAGAATATCACTTCTCTCGCGCGCAGAGAGCACGTAACCTCTCTTCCTTTTGCGTTTCACGCGCCCAAGCTGGACGATCCGACGGATACGCGCAATTAAACAGAATTCCTACCTTCCTTCCGTTTTTATTTTGCACGAATTTAAAATGTGCCCACGCATGTATGAATAACGAATGTACTTCTGCTACGGAGAATCCGGGGCAGCGAAAAATTCAATAATTTCGGTCGCGTGCAATGCGACTGCGACTCTCTTTTTCTTTTTTTTTTGTAGCTTTGTGCGCCGCGCTTCACGCGCCTCGGTGGAAGCTTTTCACGTGGAATTACTTTCATCATTAGCGGTACTTTTGAGGCTTTTCGATACGCTGCCGCCACCGCCGTGGCTGCTGCAGCAGCAGCAGCAATCGTACCGACAAAGCTCGCGCTGAAATCCTATAAAACAATCCCTGACGGTGGTGGCGCGGCGCGCGTGGGTGCGTTGTGTCGTCGGTATATATCGTATTTGGGGAGAGAGAGGGAGACAGAGGCAAAGTTTGACAGCCAGACTAGAATTCAATCATGGCAGAGCGACGGAAAGAGAGAGAGAGCATAGTGAGCGCGATGAAAAAGCTCGCTCTCGCACACGCGTGAACAAAGGCTCCGGCTTGGCTCGGGGAGAGCTTGCAAATCGATCGGAAGCTGTTATTAATCACACTGCGAGCGGCACAGACACACACACGCACGCATATAAAGAGAGAGAGACTTTTCGACTAGAGTTCGCGTACAGGGGGAGACAAGAGTTCTCTTTATTTTTTTCGCTAC